AATGCAAACATGATTTCGAAAATGTTGTATCATCATTTGAATTTGAAATATAGTTTTATTGTGCCAGTTGATAGGCATTGTTGAGAAATATTTATACTATGGAAGATGTGTTTTGTATTTTAATTATAAAAGGTTCTGATAAAGTCAGTATTGTTCACAGGTAGATCTATGTGTTATTCCTACTAGAGGATGATATTTTGCTGTGAAATTGTCTGCCATTTCCTTATTTAGGTTATGTATATTGAATTGTAATTGTGTGCCCTTGATTGATATTATGATTATGTTTAGTTAATTTTTGATATTTCTAATTGAAACATTATTGATTATCCATGAACAAATGTTGATTACTTAGAAGACTTTCTCTTATTTCATACTTTGATTGAGAAAAGTTAAGAATTGTAATATTCAGAAAGGGAGATAATCATGTTCTTGTAGCTTTTATATAGCTTTGTATGACTAAATGTTTCTGATGCATTTAATTGATATTTGGATAAGCAATCTTTATTCCAAGTTAAAGTTCATTGAATTTATGATCTGCATTTCAATAGACTTATGATGTTTTGTGTTTTTCTATTTTTCCACAGATATTGAACTATTCAGCCAATTAATGTGATTATTTTTGATAAATATATATGAATATACAATAAATTCATGAACCTTATATCTGTGCTTTCGTAAGCCAGTTTATCTTTTCGGAGGTTGCATATGTTTTAAAAAAAGACAGAAATTCCTACAAGTACCATAGTCAATCGATAGATTATTTTTTCAAATAAAATTATAGTTATCTTTTATTACAATAATATATAGTTAGAAATGGCAGGTGAATTTGGTCCAGCTTGTCAGTATTATAGAACTGGGTCACTGTACCTAATATTTTATTAAATATACCGGCTGGTTTTTATTGCTGGTCTTGATTGAATGGTTTGATTTATTTTTTTTTGGATTTATTTGTATTGTTTCCATGTGTTTTTTTTTCATCTGCAATTGTTTTAAACAATCATTGTAATCATTATATATAAATTTAATGTAATTATTCAGCTCAGCTTTGGACGATGTGATTAGCAATAAAAAATTATTCTATTCTATTCTTTGAGGCAGTTGTATAATTATAAGCCTGGTACCTTTTGATAGCTATTATTTGTGTGTGTCTCTGTCCTGTATGTTCTAATGTGTCGAAGACCCATTGGTGGCCTTGGGCTGTTTTCTGTTCTTTGGTCGGGTTGTCTCTTTGACACATTCCCCATTTCTATTCTCAATTTTATTTAATACTGCATCAAGTTTGATACCATATTTCTATTTTTTCGCGTGAAACGGTTCGGTTTTTTTCGAGTGCATATCAGTTTTACGAGTGAAAATGTTTTGAATTGATTATCAATCAATCAATCAATCAATAAATCAATCAATGATTTATAATTTTATTCATTCCAAAAGGAGTTTCGTCGTATTGATTATGACGTTTACAGTGTGCGTGCATTCGATCTTATCCTACATCTTGAAATTTACAATGAGGGTTTCCCAATTGCGAACTTTCGTTTCTATCACGATAGCAACATTCCAGCAGCGCCTGCATATGGAGTATATATCTCCCATTTTATTGTCCATTTTAGACTGCAGTGACGTCTTCCTTTTAATAAGTATTCAGCTCTGTGGTTCTGAAGTGACATCTTATTTAGAAGTCCAAATATGTTAATTGCGGTATTTACGTTATATTTAGAGGATGATAATACAACTTATGGTCCGTAGAAAAGGTGAATATCCAAAATTGTCAACCCTAGTAAGGTTATATATCTGATGGAGTAGCCCCACGTGAAATAATTTGGATATTCACCGCTACATAGGAGCCAGAATTGTTTTATAAAACCACGAAACAAACAACAAATATTATTTTTGCTAATCGTGACACCCAGAATGAGCAGAATATTTTCATTTCTATATTTTATCATGGCTTTCAAAAGTTTAGGTTTGATCTTTTCTGATAGAGGTAAATGCAGAATAGCACGTCGGACGCACGAAATTTATAGGAAGTGTTATTTTCATTTACTAGCACTGGGTCGATATCACTGCTGGTGGACTATTAGACCGCCAGGGTTTCTTCAGCTCAGTAGTCAGTGCTTCGGCATTGACATGATTTATGGTGTATTTTTTAAAATTTCTCGTAGATAGATAAGAAATTATTAGGATTTTTTGTTCTTCTCTTAAAAAAAACAACAAGCTCTGTTACCTTTTAATATTAACATTTTTTTAAAGTCAGACAAAGGTTCAAAAGACATGTATAATATTTTAAACCAAGGTACAATACCAGTTGTAATTGCAGCTGAGCGAAAATGGGAGATTACATTAAATAAAGTTGTTAGAGATTGGAAAAAAATACGTAATTGTGTCACTAAATTTTCAAAAAATACCAAGCTCTGTTGTTTTCAATACTGAATTATTCACCGTATTTTAGGTACTAATACTTTACTTTTAAAAATGAATCTTGTACAGTGTAATTTTTGTACATTTTGCAAGGAAAAACCAGAAACCGTAGAACACTTTCTGTGGGCTGTCATATTGTAGCAGACATTTGGCACCATCTGAATGCTTGGATTTTTGAAGTAATACATATTGAAATTCCACTAAATGTGGATATTGTCATTTTTGGCCTCTGTGATAACTATAAACTCAATTTTATAAAAAAATAAAGTCATATTACTAGCAAAGTACTTCATTTACAGATCCAAGATGCAAGAGGAAAAACCTCATATAGAGGGACTTACAAATTATATCAAAGAAAGTTTAATTTTAGAAAAGCATATTTCCTCAAAAAATATATGTGCGAAAGAATATGACATGTACTGGAACCCCTGGGTTAAAGTCACTAATTAGATATTAATGATGAATTATTAATGTATAAATGTGCTTGTACTGTAATTACTATTATCATTATATTAATGAAAATGTTATACTTCGTCCATATATTGTATTCTGTTATATCGAATCGTATTATTATTACTATTTTTTTCCTTTCATTTGCTTGATTATGCTTATTTATCTCCCTTGATTTATTATGTGCCACTATAGATAAATATATGTAAATTACTGTCAATCCTGACGAAGAAAAAAAAAAGAAATTATAATAAAAAAAAAAATAAATTATTAGGAAATTACGGTTTAAACTCCCTCAGGCAAAGTTGACCGTAGATGAATTTGGCTATCCTTTTAGCGTCCCTTTAGTTCATTTAGCATCTAAAGTTTCTACGTATTCAACAGCACTGAACAGCACACCTCTATTTAGAATAGTATTATTAATTAATTGAAAATACAGTATATGCATTTATTAAACCTCAGTTATCATTTTCTATATAAAATAAGTACACAATATTTTCACTATTTTTCAAATTGCAAGCGTTGAACTATTTGACCGGTCAATAGTTTCCAACTATTTGCCCTCGATGAAACTATTTGACCACAAGCGTCATTATATTTCGCGGAATTTCAACTGCAGCTACGGGATTGGCTAACAATTCATTCCTTTGTCTCTTACAAATGTAAAAATGAATTTTGGTCAGATGTGTCGTTCAGTCCATGCCATACCTTTGTGTATGTTGTCTCTTTCTGTATAATAAAAATTTCCTGACTGGATATTCGTGGAATAGCAAGTTTATTGTCCCCTCGGATACGCCTCAGGGCAATAGTTGCACTTCGGAGACAATATACTTACTTTTCCACTCATACCCAGTCAATAAGTATAAAATATGATATATATCTGTAAATAGAAATTTAAATCTAATTCAATATTTTAATTCTTTTTTCTTTTAACATCTGCATGTAGTTATTGACAATTAATTGCCAAAAGTTGTTTATCTTTCTTTTCAATTATACAAATAAAAAGAGATTTGTTGTCAATTTTAAGATATTTTCATTTCTACTTTATGGTGTACTTTTTAAAAATTTCTCGTAGATAAATTAGGAAATTATTAGGAAACAACGGTTTAAACTCCCTCAGGTAAAGTTGACCGTAGATGAATTCGGCTATCCTTTTGACGTCCCTTTAGGTCAATTTAGCATTTTAAAAAGTTTCTACGCATTCAAATTTTAGGGTTGAGCGTTCCTGATGATGGTAAATACAAAAAACAACTTCAGACGCACGAAATTTATAAAGTGTTATTTTCGTTGACGTCATATTTAAAGCGTGATAGTGAGGTTGTTACCCTGAATTATTATCTTTTCATGTAAAAAAATCCATATGTTTTTTTCGTGGCATGACTTTTTTCAAACAACGCTATTTGGTTTATCAACGAAAAATATAATAATCGGATTTAAAAAATATAGGCTAACTTATTATTACAGATAAAAATCAAGAATTGAACTCGCTAACATGCTTATGCTTACAAAACATTAAAATGAAATAAAAACTACAAATAGGTACGTCCAGATATTTTATATTCTTATATGACCCATTTAAAACTGTCTGTAAACGTTCACATTTGATCGAACCTACTGTTGATTCTAAGTAAAACAACCCTCGTACAAGTCAACACCCTTCCACTGAAATATGACATAGAAGAATCAGTAACCACGGACAACGGTTTGTTTCGGCTCATCAAACTGGGAAAAGTTTTGGAAATCGAAACAAACTATGATAAAAAACTTCTTTTCGTCCCTTTAGTGCAATGCATAGATACCATAGGTTGTGAAAACTCTCCATTCAAGTTGTATACTTAATATCCACAGCCTTCCTGAGAACACGTAGCAATTTTATAGACAATTTTTGTTTTTCGGAGTTCACGCATGTTAATTTTTTATTTATGTATTTATGTATTTATTCATATATTTATATTTTTGCATTTGTGTTGTACTGTTTTTTCTTAACTATAAATACTGTCCTTGATATGGGTATCTAACACTTGTCTTAGAAATTCCTACTTGATGATAGAAGTTTTTCTAAAAATTGACTGAATTTCTATTCACTTTTATTCATCTGAGTCAATATTATAGTGCAGAAAAAAATGAAATACATATTCAAGAGATTTTTTTTAATAAGGCCAAACGATTTTAAAATAAGTCCTCAAGTGATTATACAGAAACATGGCAAGTGATTGTATAGTCAATTAAATGTTCCTTAAAAAAAAATTTTTTTTTCATTACTTTTTTGGTTGATAGTTATCTGTAAAAGTTTGTCGATAAAAGATTTTCAAGAAGAGACATAATTAAAAAATATATATTTGCAAATCAGTTAACATTTTGCAGCTTGTGTTGAAGTAAGTGCGGAGCCTTGTCGCACTTGCTTGACAGTCTCGCACTGTAAAATCGTTCTGGAGTAGGTCTCAAGGCGTTCCAAGAGGTACTCAAGTCAAAAATGCAGTTCGAATTGTCTGTTGGTTGGTTTTTGTTCATTGTATTGAAAAAGATGATTTGCAACAATAAAAGTAAACGATTAGTAAACAAATAATGGACGTCTGTTTCTTGTGTCCCATGTGTTCTCTAAAATCATTTATCTACATATATGTCAACCCAAGGCACGACCTTCTAATCAGTTTATCTGACTCGTCGTATACCCTTAGATTTGTTGCTTTCATCGTAGCAGAACCGATTTTATTTGTAAAATAGTTGTTTTCGTAACACAGGTGAAATATGTAAAGTTTATTGTCTCCATTTTCCTGTAAATCGTTAAATATATATTCTAACACAGCACAAACTTTCTTATGACCGTTGGAATTACCAACTATGGTGCTTAGTTGGGTTGCACAAACACGACTCAACGCCGTTGATACACTGTGCTCACACAAAGCAATAACTTTACTGTTAATTGATAACAAAATACATCTCTCACATTCACTCTCTAACACACCGGTTCTATAATAATTTTGTACCATGTGAAAACAGTTGTTTTCAACAAACTGCACATGAAAAAGTTCCAAAACTTCTTTGGTTTGCAAGGTACCTATCATGTGGATAATATCAAATTTGCTCTCTCCAGAAAATTTTAAGCTAAACAGTATCTTTGCTTGTGTTGACATACTAGCAAACTGGTCGATTAACCTATGCACCTCTTCTTCAGCGGAATTACCTTCACGCGCTTGATCGATATGGCGACTTAATGAATCTAAAAACCGACTTCTCCACGTAAGTATATTTGCAGAAACATTTAAACAGACAAGCCTTTGTAGTATTTCAGGGATATCATGTAGCTGTAACTCATATAGCAAGGGCATAACCATGACCCCATGATCAAAATAATGGCAGGCAATGTCTAGATCCTTCATGCAGTATGGACTCGTGAGAAATTCTTCGGAGATCCATGGAACTATCACAGCAGACGTCTTTATGCAGTTTTCCAAATTAGACAGATAGGATTTACCAATGACAAACTCTTGTTCATGACAACCGCACACGTAGCCAATTTGTTCTAGTGTTTGCCAAAGTTCCATTATAAAGTTCCTTGATTGTCCTTCAGTGCGATATAAAAAAAATACATGTCGATGTTTTCCAGTAGGTAAAATACTTCTTGATATTTCCATTATGTTTAACACCTTCTGCAATGAAAACGTATACCCTACTATCATTACCCTAGTCATAAAACATACTACATGATGGAGTTGTATCTCTTTTTAAATGATGTCCTTGATACAAATGTGTCAACCGGATTAAGTGCAGTAATGGAACAAGAAGCTGTCCATGTACTTCAAACATATTTTCAATAAGTAAAAGTGCATATAAATGTTTTTCTGCGATGTTGCAATGTCAATATAATGGAAATTTATGCGACTGTCTTACAAGTGAGAGATTAAGCTAGCTTTAAAACCCGGTTTAATCCACCATTTTCTAAATAAGGAAATGCCTGTACCAAGTCAGAAATATGACAGTTGTTTTCCATTCGTTTGATGTGTTTGAGCTTTGATTTTGCAATTGTTAAGGAACTTTTCGTTTTGAATTTCCAATGGAGTTCGGTATTTTTGTTGTTTTACTTTTTGGAATTATATATGTGATTTCATGATTAATGTGGCATTGTCACATTTAATGGCCCATGTGGCCATTTCATGTTTCCGACTAAAGTATTATTATATAGCAAAAGCGTTCTTTCTTGTCGCTTTGTGATTTGAAAATAGTAACATTAACGGTAGCAATTTTGCTGCACTAGATGCGCATTTCGAAAATCAATGTATCTGCAGTGATCCTCGATGCCAAAATATTTGAAAATAACATACGACATACATCAAAGTCAAGTATGCAGGAAATGATCAATATTGCCTTTCTCACAGTTGTGAAAAGAATGTGCCTTTATCAATGAATACTAAGAAAAGGTCAATTGTGACCTAAAACGAACAAAAAAACAACAGATATCTATAGTTGCATACTTCTACGTCATTTGGTCTTTAGTGGAGAGTTGTTTTATTGGCAATTTTACCATATTTTCTAATTTCTATAAAACAAGCGAACTCGAAGTCGTCTGATCGTTTGTTTATAGATGTTGAATTGTTTTAAGCCCCAGGTGATTACTAGCTTAGCAGTCAAAACTCCTACTCCGACATAACTATCTTTCGTACGTATGTTTTGAAACCGTACTGTTCATAAATCTTTGAAAACAATAAAATACATAGATTTTCTATCTGTAGGCATAGATGGCTTGTTGCAAATCTTGCTATAGCCATCTACGAAAAAACTTTTCTATATCTTTTTGGAAATTTTAGTTTCAACTCTCCTCAATTCGCTAATTGAATTGGCCTTCCATCTGTTTTAGTTTAAGCACCACTGATGAATCTTAAGTAGACGAAACGCGCGTTGATCGTACAACATTTTAAGCCTTGTATCCTTGATAAGTTTTTGCAAAAACTGGCACGTTGCAGCTGCCGGAGACGTTACGTCCTCAAAGGGTATCACTAGACAAGTAGTCAACACTTCTGTGCTGTCATGAAATATAATTGAATTTTTTTGCAAAATTACTGCTTACCCTTCCGGAGCACCTGAGATCACCCCAAGGTTTTGGTGGGGTTCATGTTGCTCATTCTGGTTTTCTATGTTGTGTTTTGTGTACTGTTGTTTGCCTATTTGTCTATTTGTCTTATCTTTTTTAGTCATGGCGTTGTCCGTTTATTTTCGACATACGAGTTTGAATATCCCTTTGGTATCCTTCACCTCTCTTTAACTGTTCACAAATCTTTAAAAGCAATTGATAAACTGATGTTTTCATACCCCTAGACATAAACGAAAATAGTCAAATTTGGCAGTACTGTTGTGAAAGTTTGGTTTCAATGCTTGTCAACTTTCTAAATGATTTGGCCTCCCAACTGTCTTGCGTTGAGTGCCACTGATGAATCTTAAGTAGATGAAATGCGCGTCAGTCATGCAACATTATACGCCTTACATCTTACATTAGATTTTACAACCATTGATTCTTTGCAAATGCAGGTTAGTTACGTCTACATAGGTATCAACAACCAACTATTAATTACAATGTACTCCTGTTCTAACAAGAAATATAATTGATATTTGTTGTATACTTACTGTTCATAGAATTTTAAAATCATTCGTTATATATGTACTTATGTTTTTCTATCCCTAGACATCAATTGCTTTAGCCAGATTTAGCATAACCTTTTGGAAATGTTGGTTTCAATGCTCCTCAACTTCATAATTGATTTAGCCTCACAACTGTCCTGATATGCGCGCCATCCGTACACAATTATTATGATAGCGCTATTGATTTGTTACAACCATTGGGTCGATGTAATTGCCGGTGAACGTTTCTTCCACGAGGGTATCACCTACCAGATAGTCTGTGCTGACATGAAATATCATTGCTACGTCATGATTTGTAAATTAACTGTTTATAAAACTTTACATGTTGTAAATTGCATTCATTTAAGGTAACAGTAGTTTACATATGTTCATATTTCTTAAATCGATTAGGAATAAACTCATCATAGAGTAAGAGACAATGAGGAAGAAGAGAAGAGACAAATCAAGGTAACAAACAGAAACTGAGGGAATCGCATGAACTCCACACGAAGCGAGACCGAATGCGTCGATAGGGTGAATCTATTGCTGTGCATGCATCAAACGTCTTGCACACTTTGTTTACTAGTGTGTAAATCAGACAGGTGTTAACGATGTTTGTTAGATAATATATAATGGTTGACATAATAATTCCGCTGTGCATTACCTGTGCGATACTCGTTTCTGATATTATTGTTCATATTCATTTCTTATTGCATACTGTCTGATGTAAAGATGTAAAACAATAGATAAAGTATTGAATAACATAAATACAAACCTTGTTTGCCAACAGATCACAGCTTATTATTTCCGTGAGTTATTTTTAGCGTCTCGTAATATAGAACGGGATATTTAATTTAATTTACAACATCGATGTTTTGTGTAAATCACATGACATTACATCAACTGTTTGATAAAGAAATTAGTAATTGACAATTCATTTGAAAACTCAACATATACCCCTACGACACTTACCAAAGACATCCCGAATAATCATAAGACTGTAATATGTTTCTTTTGGATTTTCAACCAAAGATGAAGAACTAGATGTTCCTTCATTTATTGGATACTTATAGGTTACATAAGTGTCCTTACAAACGACGGATCAAAAAACCCTCTTTCTAAACTGTTAACATCAATTTTATCAGCAAACAAAGCCGGACTTCCGAGTTATTGTGAAACTTCATTCTCTAGGGGCGGTGTGAATCTGATGTCGATCTAAGCCTCTTTCCTCAAGCAAGAGTATAAAACTTTTGACTTTCTACTTACACAAGTATTCCCTAGTCCAAACTTAAATAAAGACAAATTGAAAGAATTTGTCTAACTTTGTTACATGAAAATAGATTGCCAAAATAAATGCAAATATCTTGTTTTCTGGGGGTAACAGTCATACCTCCAGAAATTTGCAATGAAGGCAGATTCAGAACAAAACTTTACGACAAAACGAATGATTTCACTTTTCATTTGGGAACTTTCATTTCTATGTAGCAACATTCCAGCAGCGCCTGCATATGGAGTAACTCTCTCGTTTGATACGTTATTTTAAAGCTTCCATTTCCTATCATAACTTCCCTGATGAGGGTTGCTGCTTAGAAGAAAGATATTAAACCAAGGGTTCCATTTGAAGTTATACCTTTTCAAATTTTACGGACGCCATCACGAGTTGATTGATGTAATTGAATATCTGTTTAACAGATGATTACGAATATGTTCCAATTATCGTAACTACAATCCTGTCCTTTTGTCTTCGAATGAGACATCATCGTTTTTGTATTTACACTAGCAACACGACGGGTGCCACATGTGAAACAGAATCTGTCCATCCTTTCGGAGCACATGCGATCACCCATAATTTTGTTTAAAGGGGTTAGAGTTGAATTGGTTTAAGAATGTTCGCTCCTTTTGTTTTTGAATTCTCGTCCTATTTTCGGAATCCTCTGGTTTTATCCATGTTTTGCCATTAAATAATTTTGTCCACTAACCCCTACTTTTCTTTTCATAATTTTATTTCATATAGTTTTAAAAGCCATATTTGAAAATCTTATAAAATCCTTGTTATTTTTTCATAGTTTTTAAAAGAGAAAAGCGGACAATGTTAAAAGTATGAAAAATCTAGAGAGAATCATTTCCCGCCAAATTTTCAATGGCTTATATCTCAAAAACAAGCGCACACGGACCCTTCATTTTCTTTTGCTTTTTTGGTTCCTTTATTTATATACTATAAATTTATAACAGTCTTTTAAAAAGCTTGTTTTTTTTAAACAGAATAGCGAACATCCTTAAGTGTTGTTTTGTCGCCTCTCTTTTATAAACGTATTTGAATAGGAGTAACACGACATGACTATACGTAAGAGGAACAACCGACTCTCTGGAGTACCGAATGTCACCGCCGCTTTTTGATGTGATTCTTGTTGCTCAATCTTTAGTGTCCTGTGTAGTGTTATGTGAACTTTTTTTCAACACACATTTCAGTCATGACAAATACATTTAGATGTGACAATAGAATAACAAAAGACAACCACTGACGAGGTTCAGGATTTAGGACAAGCAGATGAACATGTGGCGGATTTAAACTGTTTCTTGTTTTTTTATAGATTAATTGATAACATAATCTGCCCAGGTAGGCTAAAATCTTAAAACTTTTATGGTAATAGCACTTCCTATTTAGAAACACAGATATAAGATTTGAATTAAACAGATCTGCAGAGTTAAATTATTCGGCCTTGAGCGTTCCTGATGAAGGTAAATCCAGAAAAGCGCTTCGGACGCAAGATATTTTTATATGTTGTTTTCCCTTTTTTACAGCAGTGGGTCGATACCTCTGCTGGTCTTCTATTGATCAGTTAGTGTATCATCAGCTCAGTAGTCAGTACTTCGGTACTGATATGATTTATGACAAACCTTTCTAAAATTGTCCGTTTATAAATTTTGAAATTATATAGAAACTAAGCTTTAAACTCCCTCATGCAAAGTTGACTTTTAGATGGATTTGGCAATTGTTTTTAGGTCCTTTTTGGTCATTTGGCTCTTCAATTGTTTCGATTCATATACATCTTTGGCTTTAGATTATTCGGCTTTGAGCGCTCCTGATGAAGGTAAATCCAGAAAACCGCTTCGGACGCATGTAATTTATAACATGTTTTTTTGTATTTTTTGATGCGAATTATAGTAAATATTTTCGAGTTATCATTCGTGGTACACATTAAACGACCTGAATTTGATATCATTCATTTGATGAATTGTTAAATGATATATTTGATAACACGCAATGCTACACATATGTCGCAAGACTGACTGCGTCCTTAGTAGTAAAATTGACACAAAAGGATTATTATCAGGTGCATTTTTGTATAATGGAATTTAAACACACCTTTTTCATTATTTTTTTCTGTTAGCATTCATATTTTAAGCTCACCTGGGCTAAAGGTCCATAAGAGCTTTTGTTATCACTTGACGTTCTACGTTGTCCGTCATCTATCGGCCGGCGTCTGGTGTCCGTCTTAAACATTTTAAAAGATCTTCTCCTCTACAAAACCAATTTCAACCAAACTTGGGTGAATACTCCTTAGGTACCTAGTATCTAGTTTGTGTTTTTGCTTATTTTCTCAAACATTATGTGTGATAGGTGAAAATCCTCAAGAGCAAACAACCGAAATAGTTGAATGATTTCTTAAAAGGAGTTATAGCCTTAAATGACGATTTTTAAACCTCGTATCCGTCATATACTTTTTCAAGATCTTCTCTTCAAAATCTACTGAACCAATTTCAACAAAACTTTGGGTGATGACCGGTAAGGTATCTTGTATTAAAATTTGTTTATTTTCCGGATAGTCAACCAACATCGCCGCCATATATAAAAATAGAACATAAAGGTAAAATCCATTAATTATCTTGAAACCATTAAAGATAAAGATAATCAGACGCGACAAAAATTCTACAAATGTCAAGATCCACCTACTTCTTTTTTCACCAAAATTAACAGATGACTCCTTAAGGAGGTATTTTCCTTAAATGATGATTTTGGCTATTTTTCATGTCCTTGCCTATTATCTTAAAAACTATATTAGATGAGTAAAAACTGTTAAGAGCAAAAGTTATCAGCAATACAAGATCTAAAACAATACCTATATGACTATAAACATTGGATGCTTTTATTCAGTTTATTTTTCGATTTATGAGTTTGAATGTCCCTTTGGTATCTTTCGCCTCTCTTGATTACTTGTAAATGATGATTTATGACTAATTTTTAGCGTTTTTGCCTATTACAAAATACTATAAAAAAATAGTTATAAACTGTAAACAGCTAAAATAATCAGAACTATGCGATCTACAAATATGCATGACCGAAACAATTGGATGACTTCTTAAGTAATTGTAGCCTTAAATAAACTCATCATAGATACCAGGATTTAAATTTTGTATTTGCGCCAGACGCGCGTTTCGTCTACAAAAGACTCATCAGTGACTCTCGAATAAAAAAAGTTAAAAAGACCAAATAAAATACGAAGTTGAAGGGCATTGGGGACCAAAAATTCAGTGGCATCGACCCAGTGGTTGTAAATGACGATCTTTGGATATTTTCGTGGCCATTGTATACGTTTTAGCTCATCATATTAAATGCATTAATTTCTTTTATTCATTCATGTGATATTTAACATGTAAATTGCAAGAAATAAATATAGATTTGATTAATAGGGACTGTTTAAGAGCTCTAATCTTGATATTCGAAAAAAAAATATCAGCGTTCTAATTTGAACAAAATACATGAAAATGACTGGATTGCATCAAATGATCATCCAAAATTTTTAATGTAGCTGCTATTGTGATTTTGACTGTTTAAGACATAGTTGACATGCAATCATAAACAGGCGAAAGGCTGCTAATTCATAAACCAAATTTCTTAGAAAACTTCATCTTAACATGAATTCCATCAAAAGGAAAAAAAAAAAGGATCATTTTGGCATTTTATAAAGAGAGGCACGACCTTCAGCAATGCTAAACTATATGTACATAATATCAGCTTGAGGTAGGACCATACGTTTGCATTACTGTATATCAAAACATATTTCGTTAGGTATGAATTTATATTGATAAAAAAAAGAAAATAAATAACCGATAAAAGATTTATATTCTGTAGAAATTATTTCATTCAAAGGATCAGTAAATTCATATGGGTCGTATCTAAATTAACGGCATAACCGTAAAAAAATAAGATATGATATCCCCTTTGTCAAGATTTCTACAGGTGCGGCCAAACTTTCAAACCAAGCTTTTTATCTATGAATTGATTTAGTAAAAGTTTTAAGTAACTTTTTTTTTTATCAGTAATACATATATAACGTACATTGAAATCTAACACGAGTTTGGAAATAAACACATCATAAGAAGGGACAAACAGAACATCACCGTAAAAAAGTTAGATCAACAATAGGGAACGAAAATCGTTTCTGTTGTAAAGTTTTATTTTAAGTTTCCCGTAAAAAAACTGAAAAATCCAAATTTAGAGCAGTAAAATTATTGCTGTTGATATTAGATTTATCTAAAGTAATTTCCCTTGGGTGAATATCCGCAGTTTAATTAGATATCCTTGATTATCTAAAGCAAACATATTATCAAGGTAACGGTAAGTGTAACTTTATCAATCAAATGGATTTTTTACGGTTAGTTTACGAACAAAGTTGGGGTTGTCAGTATAATTTTAGACTATAAACCATGAACATTTAACAATTAAATATTGCATAACTCAGTGTGACGTCTGGTAGTTTTCACCTTTTTTGGTGGGATTCCAGTTATTATTTACTGTGTAGAGTTTTATAGAAGTTTTTGTTTGTCTTGTCGTATTTTT